ATAGACGAAAAATAGCTAAAAGAGTAAATAAAAATCTCGGCAAAAATCTTTTGTAGAATTTTTTTTTATTTAAATATTTATACACATCAAACACACACACACACACTGATCCATGAACATTCTAGAAAAAAAGATATTCTCAGAATCGTTCATAGATAGTAGTAGTTTATAACAAAAAAAATAACAACAATTCTGGATGAGAAAACAACATAAACATGTAGCGATGAATGAAATGTAATGTAAAGCTCATCGTCACTTTCGAAAAGAGAAAAAAAACTTGTATACATTGCAATGTACAGTAAATAAATATACACACACATGATATAAATAAATTATTAAAAGTCTCATATATGTATGAATGTGTGTGTGTGTATAACAAGGAAAAAGTCAAGATATCAACAATCCATATGAATATATATGAAATAAAAAAAAAAAAATAAAAAACACACACACACACACGACCAGGTATCATTATCAAGAAAACACATCTACATCAGAAGAACATTAATCTTAATCGTAAAGTAAAGAATAAAATAGCAAAAAAAAAAAAAAAAGATTTGGGTCGTTAAAACGATCCAGTTGAGATGGATAATAATTTAGAATTTTTATTTATTTATTTATTCGTATCTTACATAACGAGTAATATTTTTTTTGATTGATAACAGTCATAACTATAATAATAATCATTATCATCAGGATTTTATCCATTTGTTTTGGTGAAAGAAATTATGAAAAAATGAAAATATTCTTTCATAACATCTTTTGTAGTCAATCGGGTCAATTTTGTAAGTCGGGAATATTTTTTTTTTTGGGTTTCTAACTTTGACCACATTTAAAGTGCCTAATTCATTGGGGACCGATTTGTCTATCATGTCGTCGTAAGAACAAAATATAGTAAAGTAAGTAAAAGTGAATACTGAACACAACAACGAAGAATATGTTGAACTCAAATGTGTACACACGAATGTGGATGAATAAATGAATGAAAATGATGAGCTTTCGTTTTATAACTTATTTTTTTTTTTTTTTTTCATTTGAAACGGAACTAAACCAGAAAATGATTCTTTTTTTCTGGTTGCATGCATATATAACTTAGTTTTCGAATAAAAAACAAGCAACAACCAAAAAAAAAAAAAAAAAAATATTCCCAAAAGATTCTCTTTCATTCTATCTTCACACTTTTTAGAGAAGGTCAGTCATAATAACTATATATGGATGGCAAACAAACAGTTGAAAATGGAAAAGTTTGTACCCAAAGAATAAACCTTAAACAATCATTATACAATGCACATCTCTCTTCTGGTTATTTCGTAAATCTTTTTTTCTCTTCTCGGTTTATTTTTTCACCTCAACTAAGTAAACGAATCACTTGAGACCCAAAGATTTGGATTTCAATGTTGAAAAATGTTATTTTTCTATAGAAATGAAAATTACCGCTGATTTGATACATTAAAATGATTTATATATTTCATTCATCCATTCATCATGATCCACACAGATAAATATTAGTTAAACTAAAGTGAAAAAAAACTCGAACCAACAAACAACACATTAACTATTGAATTTTATCATGTTGTGGTCATATATAAGGCTAAGCTGATTAGCGGTTAAAATTGAGTATTGGCTGCCAAAAAACTAACATAAAAAATTAGGATAGACAAAAACTTTTGTTCACACATAAAGAGATCATGATGATTTACACTGTTGAATTCTATAAAGTTTAATATAAATGACTATGACTACTATATTTGGAACGGGAAAAAAACGATGCGATTTTGATGGTAAACGATTTGAACGTGACGATTCAAGTTTGAATGAGATAAATGCAATGATGATGATGATGATGATGATGATTAGCAGAAAAAGTAGTAGTATTGAAAACAACACAAATAAAAATGATGACATCCATAAATTTGTTTGTAAAAAAAGCATGTGTGTTTGTGTGTATTGGTATCCGTTGATAGGATAAAAACTTTTTTCCATCATGACCATAATCAACAACAACAACAACAACAACAACATCATCATCATTGGACAAAAGTTTAATTTTTGATCATCAATAAAAAAATATCATACCAGCGTTACCTCGTAAATTCTATATTTTGTTCGTAGTGTGATCATCCAATATGAATATAATCATTCTTTGTTCATCCAGAAGCAGAGAGAGAGAAAAAAAATAGAAAAAAAGTCTCAAATATTATTTTCATTTTTTCTCCTTCTTTTATTTCACATTTTGTTGCCCACTTTTATACTTTTTTTACATGTTGTTTATATATTGATTTTTTATTGTTGTAGTTATTCGATTTTCAGAATTTTCAGTTCAAGTAGACTTATAAACTATCGCCAATAGGAAGAAGAAGAAACCTAAACTCAATTGACAAGTCTAAAGATTCAAAAAAAAAAAAAAAAAAATTGGCAGCTCTATAGTTGTTGTTGTTGTGTGCGACTCTCTCACTCGTTTAGGTTATATTGTCGACAGATATATTTGAAAGAGGGCAAAATTTCATTCAAGTGCTAGGCATAAAATTTCTGAAATGAACAACAACAAAAAAAAAACAACCTCCCGACCAGCACGAGAATATTCCCTTCAAACAAACTGAATGAATAGTACCGCATAAATGAATGCTGAAGCCTTGAATATAAGCCAAGCGAAAAAAATAATATATTCTTCGTATTAAAAAAAGGAAAAAAAAGTCAAATAATAAATCAAATTCAATATATGGAATGGTGGAAAGTGAAAAAAAAAATTCTTCAACAATATCAATATAAGCGGCAGAGTCGTTTTTTTTCACTATTGGAGACTTAGTATGACAATTCTTTTGTCGACATATTTTTGCTTTTTTTTCTCATTGATTTTGATTGACCAGTGATTTTTTTTTCTATTTGAATTTCTGTGTGTGTATGTGTGTGCCAAAGACGAAACACAATACACAAAGTTTACGCCCTGTGTGTGTGTGTGTATTATACATATGAATGAATATAACAACAAATAATACAAAAACACAGAGAGAAAAAAAACTAGCACACTATATTTAAGGTGGCCGGGAACAGACTGATCTTTGTCGTCTTCTTCAAATCAAGATCCGAAAACAATTCCAAAAGAATTTTGGAATTCGAATAGCGAGGGAGAAATTTAATTTTTTTTTGGAATTTAATGTCCCATATCGTTGATGATCGGACGGCGTGGCTATTTTTTTTTTTTTACCCTCACTCTTATATACCATTAGAAGATATATTCGATGGTATGGAAAATTTCGATAGTGGTGGATAATATAAAATGATAATTTCAAATTGATCATTTCCTTTTTTTTATTCTTTCGTCTTTTCATCATTGCCAAACATAAAGAAAAAATTGATTGTTCGTTAAATTCTTCTTCGTTTTCAAAGTAGAAAGCAAAGGAATTCAAAAGAAAAATGAATGAGCAAACGACGACGACGAATGTTCTATCGGTCTTGTCCAATTATTTTCAATCAAACTTATAGCTGTATACAACAACAAAATGGTTTGATTGATTTTTCGTGTGTGTGTGTGTGTGTGTGTGTGTGATTCAGGAACGTTTCACAATGATGATGATGATTGTTAAAGAAGAAAAGTTCCCCTTTTTTATATAAAGAGATTGGAAAGCAGAAGCAGAAGAAAATGGCAGAATTTTTTTTTTTTTTTTTTTGATACGAAAAATTCTATGCGTATGTGCATGTAAGGGGGTATGTGAGATGTGTTCAATGTTCATTTGTGTGACATAACAACGTCATTGTTGAACGGCAATGTTGAGCAATAATTTTTAAGTGAGGAGAATTTTTTTTTTCGCAAAACCTAATTGAATTGAAAAAAAATCTCAATCCGTTTATGTTTTCTGTTCTCTGTTATGAAATCAACTGAAAAATTCATTCTTTTCTCGCCCAATCAACATTGTTATAGTTCGTCAAAATGTTTTCTTATTATTATTCTGTTATTTTTTTGCAACTCCAATTTTTCACCAATCAACTTGGATCATGGATTCATTCTTTTTTTTCTCGCCCATCAACATTGTTATAGTCGTCGTCAAAAATTGCTCATTTTCAATTAAATTTATTTTTTTATTATTATTATTCCTTTATGGCTCATGAATTTTTTTTTGCAACTCCAATTTTTTTTCTTTCAATAAGATCAAAAGATTCTTTGCACAAGGTAAATCTCACACACACACACACACACTCATTAATCTCATTTTTTTCTCTCTTTTGCTACTGAATTTTTTTTTCGTGTGTTGTTAGTAAAAAAAAGGAAACAAAATTCAGTGTATGAAAAAAAAGAAAAAAACGGTTGAAAAGAAACGAACAATGCATATTGCAAAGATTTCTGGTTATTGTCAGACATTCATTCGTAAAGATTCTTGCAATTTTTTTTATTGTTTCATTTTTTTCCAAAGAATTTCTATTTTATTTTCAATGATAAAGAAGAAAAAATCTTATACACAACCATTCATCGATTGATCACCATCACCACCACCAACAACAACACGACCAACATCGTCATCATCATCATCATCATCATAAAATTTGAATTTTTTTTCATTTACTTCACTAGAACTTGTTTAGTTTCTGGACTGTTCAGAAAAAAATATTTCCAAGCCAAAAAAAAAATTGTTTAAAAGTAAAAAAAAGAGCCGCAAAATTCAATAGAACCACATCAGCAGTCATACGATCGATCGATTCGAAGCACATAGCTTTAGAATTCATATTCGTGTGTGTGTGTGTGTGTGTGTGTGTGTGTGTGTGTGTTTTGTGCATGAATGAAAATTGAAAAAAAATTTTAATTTTCACTTAACACTGCTTTATGGTACTACCAAAAATCTGATTACAACATTCAACCCTTCGAACGGATACAAAGTGTTCAATCCATCAATCATTCAATCATTTTTACGCAAATTATGAGTGATTTGTGAATAATAAGTAAATTCACAATTTGAAATGGGAACCAAAAAAAAAAAAATAAAATAAAATTAAAATAGCAACTATACCTTGTTGACGTTGTGAAATGATTATTGGTCTCGAAATGATTGAACCAAAACGATTAACGGCAAGGCACTCAATCTGATGTGATATGGTCATATATGGCTGTTGAAATGATGATGAATAATGATTATAATTGTTCCCCATCTGATATAGATGGTGTTGATGATGATGATAATTGAGATTATTGTTATTACCATTGTTGTTCATTGATGATGATGATGATCCACCAATAATCAATGTTTGTCCATCATTTCTCAGTGTGACCATTGCATTCAAATGAGGCCAATATTGTGGTGTATCCCAGCTATATTCAGTTTCACTTTCCATAATCATCATTGTATTCATATCCTGTTGATTCAAATGATGATTCATCATGGTTATATTATCGATTCGCCAATATATTTTTGGTATTGGATATCCTTGAGCTTTACATGTCAATGTTAATCGTAATGTTTGGTTATCATAATATCGTTCTGAACCAGATGCAATATTAGGTTCGATAATAAAAATTGGACCTGAATATTCAGGACCGCCATTACTATCATGGTTATAATGTTCATAATCATCATTATCATCATCATAATAAAGATGATTAGTCCAATGATAATCTATTGGCGATTTTAATGATGGCAAACTATCAAAATAATTGGAAGAAGAAAAGGTGGAATCTCTTAATTGATGATGAAGATATCTACGAGGGCGTATGGAAGATGAGCGGTCACTAATGTTTACTACCGTTGTTATCGGAACTATTGTAGAGACGGAGGTGGATGATGATGTTACAATTTGTTCGTGTGCATTTGAATGACTAATTGCCGTAATGTTCACAACCGAAAGTGTGCAATACAATGGCAATAAAAACATCAACAATAAAAAAATGAACAGAAATTTTGGTTTCCATGTTGAAAATGGTTCAACCATCATATTGGTCATTTTATTTCTTGTTATTTGGCAATTCATCATTTTCTTTTCATCAACAGCTATCTATCTATAGCTGACGATCGAATTTCAATTATTATGATCAAAAATTTTTTATCACTGGATGGTCATTATTTTCTTTTTATAAATTTTTTTCCGGTCAATTGAATGGAATACTTGAAAATTATGTCTTGCTTACGTGTGCGTAGGAGATGAGGGAAATAATTTAAAACAAAAAAAACAACCAAAACGATGGACAATTCAATCGATAAAATCAATAGTTGGAATTATTTCGTCTTTCTTTATTTGCCGATTATATTGATCTATCGATTGATGGATTCTTTTCTTGGATGATGAGTAGTCGAATGTAGAGAGAATCATGTTAAGCCAAAAAATAAAACAAGATGATGATGTTGATGATAAAGATTGTAACATTAATAATAACGGAAATATTAAACCAAATATATCCTGCTATCAATTTCAGATGATTTAGAAAGTTTTTAAAATGAAAAGACAAAGAATATAAAACAATGATGATGAAAATTTTCACTTATAAGTTTTTATGCATGTAGAATATTCAATAAAGAAAATGATGTTATAGAAAGTTTTCCTTTTAACACTTGTCGTTATCGTATCATCATTTCATAAAATGTTGACAATAATTTTATCGTCATTTTTCTCTCACACTTTCTCACTATTTTTGTAACAAAGAGAATGTTTTAAACACTTTGTTACCAAACTCATCATGAGTCTCATTATCATTTTGATGATTGATGATGATGATAATGATGATTATGTCTATGTTAATTCGAGATGGACTTTTCTGGGATATAGATACTTTGTTCAATATCTAATAATTGCCGGAAAAACATTTCAACTATATTGAACGAATTTCAAATAATAGAATGTATCAAGATATTTTTTTTCACTCTCACTCTCTCACCCTCTCTCTCTCTCTCTTTCCCGATTTGACGGTTGAAAAAAAATGACGTCGTTATCCAAATCACATACACACGCAAACATATACAACGGTGTATGGATATAATAAATTAGTATAATTAATGTCAACACTATCCCAACATAGATGAACGTTGACGTGGTTGATGATTACAATTTTTTTGTTTTGTTTCACGACAATGATAATTTGTATCTTTGAAAAAAAACAAAGCGATGAAATTGTAATGAAATTGAGAAATACAAAGAAGAACCGGAATATTTTTTTTTTTTTGTATTTACTTTAGCCTGATTAGTTGGATTGAAAATCCTGTCTGTCGTCTTTTATTAATATTTTTTTTTTTGTTTGTTTTGTTGTTACTGTAATTAAATCTTCTCATATTTCAAGTCTTTGATCAATCAAAGTGGATCGTTGGTTAAATTTCTTGCCGAAAAAAATCATTGCGAACCAAGATATATTTGATGAGTATGTGTCGTGTGTGTGTGTGTGAGTGCGTGTGTGTGGTGGAGTGAAATGAATGAACGAAAAAAAAAAATAATTTACATCAATTTAAAACGGTAAAACGGTTTCCCATCACAATCGATACGATTCGAATTTTGTGATTGAATTTCATTGACGATCAACATTCATTACGATTGAATGATTTTCACGATACAAAAAAAAAAAAAAATGAAATATATTTATATTGAACAAAAAACATTAAGAACAACAATGACGATCACTTTTGGCGCCAAAAATTTGTGCTTGAATAATTCGATCCAAAATAAAAATAAAGAAACATTCAATAATGAAATAAACACACACATGCACACACACATACATTGGATATAATCACAAATGAAATTCTGTTTCAACAACAACAACAAACTAGGATCTGAATAGAACCAATGTTCGAGCTCAACTGAATGAATCGTGAACAAGATTTGGTGCTTAAAAAACCAAAAAAAAATAATAAAAGATCTACAGAATGGCGCCTGGTCGATCGTCGTATTTTTCGACGCTTCCAAACAACTTTTTCTATATATAGCAAAATGATTCAAATGGGACAAATACGGAAAGCGAACAAGTTCCAATATTTTGCAAAGATTTTTGTCTTTCTCTCTCTCACACACACACATACACACGTGGTCGTTTTGCTTTTTCACGCCTTTGCCATGATGATGACAAACATAAAAAACTTTTTCCTTATCAAAAGTTTTCATCATCGTTATAACATGTTGTTGTTGTTGTTGTTAATTTTTGATTTTTATCATACAAAAAAAAACTACATGCCATTTCATTATTTGAATATAATATATAAAGGGCAAACAAAACAGAATCCAATACGACATCATGTCGATTTTATTCAAACACCTTACAAAGTTTGTTTTTCTTTTCTCATGTTCCATGGTCAGAAATGCAGTGAATTTTTTTTTTCAAAGACCAATCTATTTGATTTGATAGTTGTTGTCATTGCCGTCGTCCGAAAATTTGATTTTCTTTTTTTTTCTTTTTTTCAATGTTCAAAAGTTAACTTTGTCTTGGTGTTTGTGTTTGTTGACATCATTTTCAAACAACAACAACAACAACAACAAACTTGTCGAATGGAAAAGACAACCAGAAAAAAAAGACAACCAGTGTAAAAAAATCTTTCTGAGAAAGAATCAAAAAAAAAAATTTTTTTTCCTATAAAAAAACGACAAAAAATGACCATAAGCTTGAATCCGAAATAAAATCTTTGCTGTGATACGATTGAAAACAAACTCTGATTGTCAAATGAAATGAAATTGAAAAGTTATTAAAGTCATCAATGAAAAGAATGATCATGATGATGATGATGATGACGACAATGACGGTAACAACAACAACAAAATATCTAGCAAACACCAAATCAATGAAAAGCTGGATATATCTTTCGTTTTAGCGATCAAATCAAATCGAATCAAATTCTATAACTGGATATTATTACATTTTTTTTATTGTTGTTCACACTATTTCGATCAATTTTTTTTATGACAACCAACGTCAACCACGGCTACTACTATGGCCAATAAGACATAAAGTGAATGGAATGAAAATCATAAATCGAAATTGGGTTTATTTGTGGTCCATCCATATTTCTAAATGAAAAAAAAACCGAAAATTCTGGAAAAAAAAGAAATGTATTCAACATATAATACAAGTAGTAGCAGCAAAATTATTTCTTCTTTTTTTTTGTTCGTAATTTTATCATCATCATCGATGATTATCATCCTTGCCAATCTCATCTCACCCGTCCGAAAAAAAACTATAGTTACGAAACTATCAAAAAAAAAAATTATTTCCGATATGGTCGTTATTATGGTGGTTATGGCGGTGGTGGTGGTGATGGTGATTATTATTATAGTTTTTTTGTGCCATTTATTTTTTTTTTTTGCATTTCTATTTCTGAGGCCAGAACTTACCGAGACTAATTAGAATAATATGATAATCATACACACACACACCATTTATTGGTTAGGATAAATATATGACAATGATGATTAGTTAGTTATATTAGTTACAACTCGGAATATTTGAATAAATGAATGGATGAATAAATGAATTGGTCTAATGGATGAAAAAAATGAAGGAAAAAAGTAAAGTTTCTCATACGCCAGACCAAAAGTTTTTTTTTAGTGGCTTCATTTTGTTCATTTTTTGTGTGTGTGTGTGTGATTTAGAAATGCAAATTGATTATTGATATCATAGAGTACAAAATTTTATTTCTGTCGTCATAATTTTGATGATGATAATAATAATAACAATATAATGTCAACTATTTGCCTGAAACTCGGCACAAAGCAACCACCGCTGATTCTAATCGATCTGTGTTATTCACAACAACAACAAAAAACAAGAATCGTATATGCCATTTATGGTACTGCACAGATGTAGAGAAAACATTGAAATTCTGGCAAAAAACAAATTTTTTTTTTGCGTGTCCATATCCATTTACATAAAGGTTTTTTGTTTTTTTCCCAAAAAAATAACCACACACACACACAAAAATAAATGAGGTTGTAACCATCCAACCATTGCTTTGAGTTATTGGGAACAAAGGGGAAGAATTTGATGATTCAAACATGATGATGATGATGGCGATAATAGTGTTAAAATCATTGTCATTAAAATTATCAAACATAAATCAATCGTTCACAATTATGATTATAATCAAGGCTCTTTACAATCTATTTTGATCAGCTATCTGAATGTTTTATCTGAATGCTAAGTAAAAAATAGTTCGACAATTTAAAATCATATTCATAATGGATTTGAATCTAGGATGTGGTATATAAGTCAGTTCCATTTAAACGACCAAAAAAACGCAAATATGTTATGCACGATGTAAATTGAATTAACTAACACAAAAAAAAACTATGGAAAAAAAATTTTCAAGAATTTTTATTTTACTCTAGTAGTTTTGTAAATTCAAAGCACACACACACACACACACACACGAATTATACGGATGTGGAAAACAAAACAGGAAAAATTTTTACCAACAAATAAAATTTGCTTAAAACCTCACTTTATACAAAAAAAATTATACTACAGAAAAAAAACCAAGAATAAAATGAAATGGAAAAGAAGAAAAAAAATTGCGATTCAAGTTTTAGCCCCACACTACCAAACAGCAAAAAGCAGAAAGTGCCACGTTATTATGCAACCGAAATGTCAATATTTTATTTTTTTTTTGCATCAACTTTCATTCATTTATTCGTTATTCTTGTAATAAGATGTGAAAAAAACAACTACTGCTGTTGTCGAATAAATTTTGATGAAATTCAAAAGATAAAGAAAGAGAGGTCCAGAATTTTTCCTTTTTTTTCCAAAAAGCCAAGAAATCGACAAGAGAAAAAAAAGAAAAGAAAAGAAAAAAACATAGAATTCAGAAAATATTTTACGTAAATTAAATTTATACTTTTGGTCCATTCACATTTTATAGTTACGACTTTTTTTTGAAAAAGAAGAAAAAAAAAAGTTTGTTTGGAAATTTAATAGTTTCGATCTGAAATCATCAACATCATTTTCATCAGTCGTGATCATCGACGACGATGACGACGACGACGACCCATCTGATCCAAAAAGAATCATGGTCTCTCCATACCAAAAGAAAAATGAGAA